TTTCCAAATGTTTCTTATAGTCCAGTTCTCATTCTGCTTCAAAGATTAAGTGGGAAAATGAACATTTCTGTTTCTGTTCCTGCTTTCTGATGATTTTAGTCAGCATAAAAATAGTGCTAAACTTCATCTCAACAAATTGTTAACATTCTAATCATTAATGCTGGGAGAGAAGAAAGTAATGCTTGCAGACAACATCAAAAAAATAAGAAATAAATTAGTGATCTCTGTGTTCTGCTCTGTTTATTTTCTATTCTGTATCTATCCAATTACTGATGAAATAGTTGTCAGCTTACCACTATAATTAAGAATGGCTATGTTAATTTGGAACTCCTTGTTTCTCACATTGACAAATTCATTATTAAGTGGTGGCTCCCTGCTGATTATTATGTGAACATTATTACCATTTTAAATTAGTTTGTGGAGACAAGGGAATGTATTTCTACTTTGTGTCAGGAAAACTGAAGCACATCTAGAGGTTGTCTATACCTTGGTAAAGACAAAGAAAGACAATATCTCTTGGATTCCAAGTAGTAGTATTTTTTTGTATAATATATTGTGAGAATTGTAAAACAGGATTAGATTTTAGTTCTTTTGTATACTTTACACATTCTTAGAAGATGAAATTATGTGAGGAACCAGGTGTGCCTCAGTTTGTCCTAAAGAAAGAAAACAAATCTAAGAATAGAATGGAGGAGAAATAAAGGAAAATCTTGGAACGCTATCAAAGGTCCTTGAGAAACCAAGCTGAAGTGCATTTGACAGTACTGTGTTACCATGTTTAAGGTTACAGGTTTTTTTAATTGCTGTGAAACCAGCTGCTGTTGACTTTGAAGGTCTACCATAAGTTCTGAGAATGAAATAGAAAGGAAGTTTCTAGAGATACTTTTTGTTGTTAGCATGACTGTTTCATCACAAAATTGATCATAGGTGCAGTTGTCTTGGGCCCAACACTCGGTGTTTTTGCTGGAATTATTTTGTACTTAAATCAAATATGCTCTATAGTCATTTTCAGGCTGCTTCGTTCTATCATAATCTGTGAAACTGTCACAGGAATGGTTCACTAAATACCTAGAGCAGAACTTAAAATTGTTGCTACAGAAATGTGATTATTTGACATTGAACTTCTTGTATGTCTTACAGGAGAGGAAATGCATACTGTTTTGTCTATGGAGTAGAGTAACCATTAAAATTCAGCTCGTTTATTAGCTAAATCATGAGTTGTTACATATATATATTTGACAATTCGTAGCTGGAACAAATGACTGTAGGTAGACGCATTTGTAGAAAATAGAGACTAAAACAGAGAAACAAAACACTTCTTTGGAATCTCTATGAATGGAATCTGCTCCATTGCTTCGAGTTAACTAAGAAATTGTTTTCTTTTAAGAGCATATCAATATCTTCTGAAAGCAGCTGACATGAATCATACCAAAGCCATGGAGAAAGTGTCTTATGCTTTGTTGTTTGGGGATTACCTGAAGCAGAACATCCAGTCATCAAAGGAACTATTTGAAAAACTCACAGAAGAGGGTTCTCCTAAAGGACAAATGGTATGTATGTCCTTAGATTCTACGTAAGTTTTTTATAGGTTTATGAATTTTTATAGATTGTACTTATTCTAAAGTCCTTTTATAGATGGCGGCTGCACCCACAAGGTGAACACTTGAAACAGGTCTTCTCTTTGACTAGAAACCCAACATTTAACATTTAACTACCAGTAATAGTATGGTGGTGGTCTTTTCATTTAATTTCTCATCTGTTGTATGACTGACTAGATTGGATGTATAAGTCAAAAAAACAGGTAGATACAGATGACTCCAGCCAACAAATCTCTGAAACTGTGTTACTTTTTTTCTTGTGGTTGATGTGGGATGTTGTGGGTTTTCATTTGCAGTTTTGTCTGAGACAGGTTGATAGACATACAAGTTTATAATTCCAAGATCATAAACTGCTAGGAATCTTGAAAGCTTTTTAGCAGAATGGAACTCACTTTGTCCATGTGCCTTTGAACATTATAGAATTGTTCATCTTTATTGTTCTGACATGTCATAAAATATGGGTGTTATTAATTGTAACGTCTCAGTATCAGCATATATGTTGACTTCTCTCTTGTTTTGGAAGCAGCAGCTTCTTTGGCTACCAAGTCTCCTGCTGTTCCCTGTTTAATGCTGGAGTACTGATTTACCATAGAAAGCAGGAACATGTTTTCTCTATAGACTTTATATTACAATAAATACTTTGACTTGTATTGGTCTAGAATTCAATACTGTCTGCATGAGTTGATTTTTGTGTGTGCTTTCTGATTGCCTAGAATAGTCCTAGAACACTGTGAAATATAGTTACCTTTATATACACACTGTTGACTGCTGCTGCAGCTAGTTTCTCTTCTGAGACACACAGCTGTAACAAGTGTTAAAGATAGAGCAGTAATTATGTAAATCTTAAGAACAAAAATAATTTCTGAAAACCCCTCAACCAAACAGCTCTGTGCATTCTAGCTGTGCTTGTATTTATAGTCACAATTGCAACTAACCTGTGGCAGAACAGATGCAAAACAGTAAATTCATATGATCTGTCAGGGAGTCAAACAGTAAGTCTTCTACAGAAGACTGTGGTTCATTTATCTTGGCACTGGTGTATGAGACAAATAGGGTACATGAATAACCTGACATATTGCTGAGCTTCACCTGAGGGTCTTTAAACTGAGATACATTTACCATTTAGGACCTTTGGATTTGCACTTGATGTTCTGGGAAGTAGTAGCTTGTTCCTTGCATTTGGTCCACTCAGCTGAATTCTGGTGAAACACTAATTTATGTTAGCATCCTAAGCAACTGAATAATTGAGAAACTTCATACTTTAAAAGGGGCACAGAAGGGCCTAGATATAGGAGGTACCAAGGTGAAGGTAAAGCTTGGCATGTTCTTTGCAGCTGTGAATTGTTGTTTGACTTCTTTATCTATTCCCGGAAAATTGATCCTTGATTTTCTCAAAGTGTGTGCTGACAAAGTTTGTTTTATTCTAGGCTCTTGGATTTCTATATGCATCTGGTCTAGGAGTCAATTCTAGTCAAGCTAAGGTAATTTAGACATCTTGAGTGTGTGCCTTTGTATTTTATCTTAAAGGCAGGTGTCAAATAACCAATAATAATTATTTTATTTTAAGGCCCTGGTGTATTACACTTTTGGAGCTTTAGGAGGAAATCTGATCGCTCATATGATCTTGGTAAGTAAGATAGTTAATAACTTTACACATGCAAGAGAGTTTTTATACTCTTAAATTTATAATGTAAGATTTCCTTTCACATGAATATATTGTCCAAATATTAGATCATTATGCTTGCATTGAGTGGGCAGTATTATCTTCCCTATTAGTCCTTCTTAATGTAAGGATAAGCCTGCTCATTTTAAGCTGTATACCACTATGACTTTAGATGTTTACGTCTCTTGACATAAAGCAGAAGTGTCAGACTTAATTTTTTGTAGTCTAATGAGAACTGTGAAAGAGATGCTTATAGAAGATGCTGTTTTAATCAGTATTGTGACATTTAAGACAAAGTGCAGCATAAGTAAGTAAAAGGCTTTAGGTGTTCACCCTTAAGTATCATTCTGCTTATTTGCTTTTTCCTGAGTAGTATTTGAAGTATATTGGCTACTCTTAACCTTTTCATAGTATCTGTGTGTTGCTTTTAACGCAGATAAAATTGGTTGATGGCCTTTGTTCTCCCTGTTGTCTCATCAAATCTTGCTCAAGTGACGTGAAAAAAGTTTGTAACCTGGCAAGTGGTATGTTCTCAAATAACCAATAGTCCCATATCTATATATTTTCCTTTCTAGGGTTACAGGTACTGGGCTGGAATAGGAGTCCTTCAGAGCTGTGAATCTGCTCTCACGCATTACCGACTTGTAGCTAATCACGGTAAAAACATTTTTCTAGGGTAATGTTCTTGACTTTCTATTTCTTTCTATATCATTCACCTAGAAGATACTAGAAATACTATCAACAGTAGTAGTATAAATATAGAAAATGTCTGCTATTAAGCAAGTTATCCATTTGGCTCATGATAAGCTATTTCAATCTCTGTTGAAATGTCTTTAATTCTTAGACTGTTAAAGTAATTCATTCTTTCTGGGCAACAGCTTGAAGCTCTGTAGAGATCTGGTTTTACTAAGTTGCTGTATAATTTCTGTATTGAAGAAAATTGTCTGACAAATTATCTTACCTGTTTTCCAGTTGCTAGTGACATTTCTTTGACTGGTGGCACAGTGGTTCAGCGAATTCGCTTAGCAGATGAAGTAGAAAATCCAGGAATGGCAAGTGGTATGCTAGAAGAAGACTTGATTCAGTACTACCAGTTTTTAGCAGAGAAAGGAGATGTACAAGCACAGGTAAGATTAAGTTCTCCTGGTGGATTTGCAGACAAGAACAGCTTTATGAAATATGGAGGGACATTGGAGCTTTAGTTCTTTCTTCCTCCTGAATCAGCCTGGTTGCTAATTCCCAATTAGTATTTATGCAAAGAGACTGATATTTTACTGTATTTAAGGTAGAACTTGGACAGAAAATGCAATTAAAAAAAAATCCAAAACATTACAGCTTTAGCGTCTTAGGAAGGAGGTCTTAGCTTTTACTAGAAACTAGCTAGACTATTTCAAGGATAGTTTCCGATGTTGTGGAGGAAGGCTTGATCAAAAGAACTGGCCCTGACAGGGGACCTCAGTTTGTCACTGCTTCTGCACTTACATGGCTTCTGCATGCTGGACATCTTCTATACACAGTGCAGGAGGGGAGGATGCCAATACAGGCAAATTGTCACAATCCAGCTTGGTCATGTATGACTTAAGAATTAGGTAGGCAGGATTCTAATGAACAGTTATTATTTGCATCTAGGACAGTCATGTCACTTTTATCTAGGATAAATTTCCATTTAGGCTAATGTGAAAAAATAGGACTGTACTGTAGTTATTGAAGCATATCTGTGCCTTCAAAATTTGTGGCATCTTTAACTCTAATACAGTCTGTCTTTGTGAATGTAATTAGCTCACTGATATCTGTATTACTAGAAAAAGTCTCTAGAGAAAAGTGGCTTACTTGCAATGTAAAATTTATTTTTAGGTTGGCCTTGGACAGTTGCACTTGCATGGAGGAAGAGGAGTAGAGCAAAATCATCAGGTACTCTTTCTGTATATCTCATGCATATTATACTTGGTAGAGGGGGAAAAAGTCTGATGAGACAACAGAGATGCAAAAGTGTTTAAGTACCACTGTAAAGTGTGTAATGACTTTAGTAGTCTTGCTCAATAAAACTGAAGATGTGATGAGTACATAGAACTGATTTGCTTACGTAATTGGTTTAAGACTAACCTTAGAAATGAGGATGTCAAAAACAAGAACTATGTTTTCATCAAGTAGTATTTGAAACTGGCTGATTTTTTTTTTTTTTGTGCATGTAGTGCATGCATCACCTTCATGATGCACTGGGCATGCATTAGTGATGATAGTCTAGTTTACTTGCTTGCAAAAGTATTTTGCTTCTGTTGACTTGCAGTACTAAAGATATCAAGTGTGCCTAGGACAACCTAGCTACTGCTTATAAAAGTTAAAATAGCTAACCTCTTCTCCAAGTATGTATTGAAAAAAATGGAGAGCTGAGGATGGGCAGTCCTGAGGATTATTTTATCCAATACAGAAATTATTTAACAGAAATTGTGTAGTGGCCATCACATTTGAAATGCCTTAAAGTGACTGCTCTAGAAGGATTCAGAGATGATAGTGAGTGGTCAGAATGAGTATAAACAGACTCCATGTAAAAGGAATAGGAACTGGCAAATCTCCCCTTCTAAACAGGGTTTGGAGGTAGGATAAGAACGTAGTAAGGTTTACCTGTGCAGCTTGTGCATAATAGCATTTATAGTTTGGTTTTTGGAATTCAGTGAGAAGGATTGCTGCTCAATATTCCAGTTGTGTGAGTGGGGGGCTCTGTTATGTATATTAAATTAGATGTGATTGGTAACTTTTATCCCCAGAAGAACCTGGTAACTTGGCAAACAACCTACTTGCCTCTGCTCCATTTGCAAGAAAATATACTCAAATCATAGTCATGGTGGCTAAAATACTTATTTTCTTCCCTACAGCGAGCATTTGAGTACTTCAATCAAGCAGCTAATGCTGGCAATTCACATGCTATGGCCTTTCTAGGAAAGGTAATATATGAACACTGTCAAAACTAAGAAAACTGAATGCCTTTCAATGAAAAATAGCAAATATTTCCTACTTTCTCATATCAGGCACTCTAAAACTTGAATGCTGCAATCTCAGTATTTCTATTTTGGTACTGTTTTGAATTTTCCTGTAAGATTTGAGGGATGTAGTCTGTCTCGCTTGAATTTTGCTTCACTTCAGGAACTCTTGGGTTTTTTCTAAATAGTGTTTGAACTAGATTTTTTTTTAAATCAAATAATTAAATTCCTAAATGCCCTTTTTCTGGCATTTTAATGAAGTTTAAACTCTGAATTGGCAGCTATTCTTTTCTACACAGTGCATAGGGAAAAGCTAGGCTTCTCAAAATTTTGCCTAGTTGGAAATACTTAGAGGGGAATGAAAGGGGAAAGACATTCTTCTACCATGTAGAGAACTGAGGCATCCGAGTCAGAATTGGCAATTGATGCAGCTGCAATCAATGACTCTATGTCCAGGTGGAGGCTGGTGATGAGTGGTGTTCCTCAGGACTCTGTCTTGGGCTCAGTGCTCCTCAATGTCTGTATCAATGACACAGACAGATGAAGTGCACCCTCAGCACATTTGCAGATGACACCAAGCTGAGTGGTGCAGTTGACACTGTTGAACAGGATGCCATTCAGAGGGACCTGGAAAAACTTGAAAGGTGGGCCCATGAGAACCTCATGAAGTTCAACAAGTCCAAATGCAAGGTGCTGCACCTGGGTCAGGGCAATCTCAGAGAGGAGTACAGAGTGGGAGAAGTCATTGAGAGCAGCCCTCGGAAAGACTTGAGGGTTCTCATGGATGAAGAGCTGGACATGAGCCAACAGTATGCACTCACAGCCCAGAAGGCCAATGGCATCCTAAACTGCATCAAAAACCTCATGAAACAAGTCCAAATGCAAGGTGCTGCACCTGGGTCAGGGCAATCTCAGAGAGGAGTACAGAGTGGGAGAAGTCATTGAGAGCAGCCCTCGGAAAGACTTGAGGGTTCTCATGGATGAAGAGCTGGACATGAGCCAACAGTATGCACTCACAGCCCAGAAGGCCAATGGCATCCTAAACTGCATCAAAAGAGGTGTGACCAGCAGCAGAGAGGAGTACAGAGTGGGAGAAGTCATTGAGAGCAGCCCTCGGAAAGACTTGAGGGTTCTCATGGATGAAGAGCTGGACATGAGCCAACAGTATGCACTCACAGCCCAGAAGGCCAATGGCATCCTAAACTGCATCAAAAGAGGTGTGACCAGCAGGTTGAGGGAGGTGGTTCTCCCCCTCTACTCTGCCCTTGTGAGACCCCACGTGGAGTACTGCATCCAAGTCTGGTGTCCTCAGCACAGGAAAGACATGAGACCTGTTGGAGTAAGTCCAGAGGAGGGCCATGAAGATGATCAGAGGCATGGCACACGTCTCTTATGAAGACAGGCTGACAGAGCTCCAGGGAAACCTTAGTGCAGCTTTCCAGTACTTAAACAGGGCTTATAAAAAAGAGGGAGAGATGCATTTTACACAGGCAGATAGTGATAGGACAAGGGGAAATGGTTTTAAACTAAATGAGGAGAGATTTAGGGTAGATATTAGGCAGAAGTTCTTTACTCAGAGACTGGTGAGGCACTGGAACAGGTTGCCCAGAGAAGGTATGCATGTCCCATCCCTAGAAGTGTTGAAGGCCAGGTTGGATGGGGCTCTGAGCAGTCTTGATCTAGTGGCTAATGTCCCTGCCTATGGCATGGGAGTTGGAACAAGATGATCTTTTAAGTCCCTTCCAACCCAAGCTATTCTATGATTTGTAATCAAAACATGATTGGCAAGCTTCCAGTGATGGTCTTACTGCTTAGCAAGGTATTTAGGTCACTTGTCTGAGATCTGGATTGCAAACTACCTTCAGCCTGTGAGAAGCTAAATCCTTATTACTTCATTTGAGTACCTTCTAAGGTTAGGTTGCAATAAGCACCAGCTCTCGTTCATCTTTTTCAGGCTGTCAGTGCAATAGAGGATGAAAAATTCATGTCCTTAGAGCCTGAAAAAAAGTGTAATGTGCTCTTCAAGGCACCTGACAGAAGAAATTGCAGATTCCACTTTCTGTATAGCTAAACTAAACTATCTAATTGTATCTAATTAGTATGTAATAAATGCTGAAATGAACAGTGTTTAATAACCAATTTTGAGAGTTTTTTTCAAGAAGTAGTTTGACTGCCAATATAGTGTGACTTCTATGGGTCTCAGGATTTTTGCCTGATTATGTTCTTCACTGCACACTGGTGAAATAAAAAAATGAAGAGTATTGTCATGAAAACGTTTTCATTTTATGGGCAGTTCATTCTCCATTAGAAATCTAAAACCTCTAAATCAGAATTGTACAGTAGAAAGACCTATTTTCTGCTTCTGGGCAAGTTCTGTCATGATTATTCCCTAATGCAGTAGTCAGAGTCTAGTACAACAGACTCACTCTCATATGCAAAGTGAAGATGCTTTATGATCTTCAGGTGAAGAAGTCATCTTAGCATGTGCTTTAATAATGCCTTTCTCCTTTAGATGTACTCAGAAGGAAGTGATGTTGTACCTCAGAGCAATGAAACAGCTCTTCAGTATTTCAAGAAAGCTGCTGATATGGTATGATTATCTGTAAGCTAGATGTGCACTAAAAAGTTGATTAGCTTCAAAATGCTTCAAATGCTGCTTTATGAGCCCTTCCCTGTGACACCTACTCCCAGATTAGCCCATAATTAAACCTTGCTTGTCTAAGGTGTCAAAAACTGCCTCCAATTCTGGCCATGGTGCTTCATGAAGCTATGTTCAGCACAAGGAGTCTCTCATGAATAGAGTCAAACTCTTTTCACCAGTATGAAATAGTGTCCTCCTGAATCGACTGCAATTCTGTGAAGTGCTAGTTTTTGTTAATCTGAAGTTGTCTTGTCATAGAAATTTACAGTGCATTGATACTTGTTTTTTGCTTCTGTTTTGTGAGTAGATAATGGTTTTATACCTCTCATCTCATTGGACTGTTTGGTTTTTGACTGTTAATCCCTCATGTCTGTCTTTGACCTATCCCGTATGGTAGCATGGCAGCATTTGTACACTTAAAGCATGAGTAGTCCTCCAAGAAGAATGTTTAGCATGTGAAACACAGTACATTAAGTTTTCAAGGAAGTGTTGTAAGAAAACTGGCCTTATGGTGCTCTCATTCCACAGTTAGAATGCTGTTCCACGCCTCTGAACTAATGTAAGGATCTCTCTGTGCTCATTTCCTACATTCACTGAAGGTTTCTGATGTGCCCTATAACCTGTCTTGGCACTGAAGAAATACCATAGCACATACTTTTTCAGTGGCTATGGTTAGTAATGCAACCCAGAAGACAACTACCAACCTGTCCTTAAAACACATTTCCTGGAATTGTTTTGGGACCTTTTGTAGCATCCAAAACATTTCAAACTTGGGAAAAACTAAAGATGAATAAGCTATTTATGCCCCATCTTTCTATGGGTGTCGGTTTTACATCTTGTATGACATTGTAGAAATGCATAGTAGACTTCCATAACTAGTATTGAAAGGTTTTTTCCACATTAATCATCTATGTAGTTACTGAATAAAAGTTACTATAGATGCTTTTTCCTCCCGAAATAACTATTACTTACTAGGAGCAAAGATACAAAATGCATTTATTGTATGCAGTCTTTGTTTTAGTGATGCTAAAGTCCATACCATGTTTGAAAGATGTAGCTGTGGGTTTTGGCTGTCTTTGCAAAAGTGTTTTTCTGTGTTTCCAGGGTAATCCGGTTGGACAGAGCGGATTAGGAATGGCTTACCTCTACGGAAGAGGTGTTCCAGTGGTAAGCTTTTGACAGTTGCCTTTCTAATCATGGGTGATTGTGTGGCATTTTGTTGTCAACAGACCTTTTCTCTGGAGGGAAGTACTGTAGAAGGCTTAATTGTGAAGGTGTCTGTTACACTGAAAACTCCTTAAGGAAATCTAATATATATTTTAAAAAGCACTATGGGGTTAGCAGCTATGAAACATGCTGAGTTCCCTCTCATAAGTTTGAAAATGTTGCTGAAGCTGTTAGAAATGCATAGCAGTGTGAAATTTAGCAGGAGATCTGAGCTTGTCTCTGATTTTCTTGTGTAATAGAAGAAATCCCAACTGTCCCCATTTTGTCTCTTGTGGGAGTGGAGGAACACTTTGAAACTTTTAATTGATTTGCTTTAGTGCTTTTCCCACAAGAATATTTCTCATCAAATGTTTTATATTTAGCTATGCAAACAGATATTCAAAAATTGAGTAGCCCAGAGCTGAGGAAATAAATTGCTCTAGAAACAGAACAGAGCTTCCATTGAGTTAAGCATAATTTCATAGCAATGCTGTACATGGATGCCAGCTTTGAGATGGCTATAAACCTAAGACATGCTAATGTCATTGTAGTATCTTTCATTTTTTTGTTCCCAAATTTTGACCAGGTGAATATTTTCACTAGAACACCGTGCTGTAATTTTCCTGTAACATATGTCTTTACACATGTACACATGCATATTTTCTTTCTTAAACTGTGGTGTGTTGTGAGGCTCTAATGACTAGACCAAATCTTCCTGCAGAACTATGAGTTAGCACTGAAGTACTTCCAGAAGGCTGCAGAACAGGGATGGGTTGATGGACAACTTCAACTAGGTTCCATGTATTACAGTAAGTGACATCAAAATGATTTGCTGGGTCTAAGCCTCTGCCCTTTCGGCCACTGTTCGCTAGGTGGCATCAGAAGTGTGCATATACTGCGTGTAGAATGGGCTTACTGCATTGAGTTTGTATTCCATCCTGGTTTTTCCTAACACTTTCACAATGCTTTCCTTTAGTAACTTTAAAGAGTAAGTAGTGTATTTAATACAACACTGTTCTGTAAGAGCAGTGAATAACAATGACTTCTTTCTTTTAGATGGTATTGGAGTCAAGAGAGACTATAAACAAGCTTTGAAATATTTTAACTTGGCCTCTCAGGGTGGCCACATTCTGGCTTTTTATAATCTGGCTCAGATGCATGCAACTGGCACCGGAGTGATGCGATCCTGTCATACTGCTGTTGAGGTAAGGTCATCCATTTATTAGAAAGGTCAGATAATACTGTCTTACAAAAGGGTGGCTATAACCACTTCAGCCTATACAAGACATTTGTCTTAACTAAATTCCACCAGTGACTGCAGATCCAAGGCTGTCAAAAGGGAAAG